ACGACCCCCTGCTAAGTCAGTCCCAAGAAACAATAGCCAGTCTAACAATGTACTCTACATAAAGTGTCCTTATCTCACCCAGATCAACAGCTCCGGTGCCTGGGATCCCCGTCAACCACACAACAATGCAGTAGTGGACGTGCAGCCACGGAGATCCAGTACTACTTTCCAATATCTGATCTGAATGTTTATTGACATCGGACACAGTTTGAAGTCATGAGAACCGAATATCATCTGGGCAATAAAATATGATTTTATTTGGATTCCTTTAAAACCTCACTGAAATATAGTGGACACTTTGAATCAGTCTGTAGGATATTAGTACAAGACAATATAATATGATTTTATACCAATTCCTTTAAAACCCTACTGAAATATAGAGGACACTTTGAATAAGATTGTAAGATATTAGTACAAGACAATATAACATGATTTTATACCAATTTCTTTGAAACCCTACTGAAATATAGTGGACACTTTGAATAAGATTGTAAGATATTAGTACAAGACAATATAATATGATTTTATACCGATTCCTTTAAAACCCTACTGAAATATAGTGGACACTTTGAATAAGATTGTAAGATATTAGTACAAGACAATATAATATGATTTTATACCGATTTCTTTAAAACCTTACTGAAATATAGAGGACACTTTGAATAAGATTGTAAGATATTAGTACAAGACAATATGATATGATTTTATACTGAAATATAGAGGACACTTTGAATAAGATTGTAAGATATTAGTCCTTTAAAACCCTACTGAAATATAGAGGACACTTTGAATAAGATTGTAAGATATTAGTACAAGACAATATGATATGATTTTATACCGAGTCCTTTAAAACCCTTCTGAAATATAGAGGACACTTTGACACAAGTGGACACCACTTGCTTGACCACGACATTAGAATCTATGTCGAAGCGTATATACAGAATAAAGATACCAATTTCATAAAAACCCTTCATCTAAATATAGAATGCAAATGAAACAAGACTCTGAAAGTCCATAACATATCAGTACAAGACAAACATATTATGATTTTACAGGTCCTTTAATTCCTCCACTGTTTTAAGAACCAGAATATGAATCTATGGCAACAGAATATGATATTACATTCCTCCACTGAAACAACATAGAGATTTCAATGTCTTAATTTTACACCAATTCCTCCACTGTTTTAAAGGTCAAACAGAAATGATTTCATACTGATTCCTTTGAAATTTCATACTGATTCCTTTAAACCCTACTGCAATATAGCAGACACTTTTTGGTAATTTGGCCATGTCCCATTCTTGTCATAAGAGGCGACTAACAGTACGGGTGGTCAGGCTCGCTGGCTAGGTTGACATGTCATCGGTTCCCGATTACGCAGATCGATGCTCATGCTGTTGATCACTGGATTGTCTGGTCCAGACTCGATTACTTACAGACCGCCGCCATATAGCTAGAATATTGCTGAGTGCGGCGTAAAACTAAACTCACTCACTCAGTTTGGCCATGTGTCATGGAATGTATAAGGTTGTACTGTTAACTCATCTGAAATACACAGTCCCACCAAATTAAATAACCCGCGTGTAGTCGAGAATGCAAGTGATAATATAAGCTATTACAATTATAGTAGGATAACAAGATCTAAGCATTATTCTCCCCTACCCTAAAGTCACTGCAATGGCTGAGAATCCATGAGAGGATTGACTTTCAGATCCTTCCTTTAGTCTACCAGTCTCTTCACAACACTGCCCCAGCCTATCTTCAGGAGATGTTTGTCCACTAAAAGCCCTCTATAAATCTCTGCTCAGCTGACCAACTGATCTTGACTCTACCAGAATATATATTGAAATTTTTCGGAGCTCAATCCTTCTCTCATACAGCTGCTTCATTGTGGAACTCTCTCCCATTTAACCTCAAGAGGTCATCTACGCCACCTGTGTTTAAATCTGGACTAAAAACGTACCTCTCCCGAAGATCTGACTGTCAGTCTTTACTGTCTTCTGTACATATGTATATATGTGTTATTATTATTATGTTTTACAGTTTAAGATGAAAATGCAGCAAAGAGGGTTCGGGTGATCCTGGCACAGTCAGGATGGTAAGGATCACCATCAGCTCAGGGCCCTTGCCCCCTCTACATGAGGCACAGACAGCGAATGGGACTTCTCCCAGGAAATGCTGCCTAATTGAACCCACCAAGAGAATATGTAGACCTTCCAACACTGCACCCTTCTGCTTTACCCAGAGTGTCAGAAGGGCTGTGCTCCCGGTGATGAACCCAGGCACAAACCAAGGGCACCGAGAACAATGGGGAGCCTGACGACAGTGTACTTGGGATGCAAGTGAGACATTTCAAAGGTGAGGTCAGCATATTTATCATGCTTTTCCTTAATCTTGCAAATCACATTGGTGTCAAAAGGGACAGAAAATTCAATGATCTAAATAAATTCATTGGCTTTATCAAAAAGGACAAGATCAGGTTTGTTCGCTGGAATTCTTCTGAGGCTGTATATGGGCCTATTCCACAGAAGTTTGAAAGCATCATTTTCCATGACGCCCTGGACATGTTCAGGGTCGTACCATGGATGGACCTCAGCGTCAAAGCCACAGGCATGTCGGAGACGGTAGTAAAAGCAACGAGCCATGACATCATGTCGTTTAAGATATGCTGTTTGTGCCAAGGAAGGGCATCCAATGACAAGGTGTTGGACAGTCTCAATGAATTCATTGCAAAGTCGGGGCAGTGGAATAACTAAGGGGTTAAATCGTTTGCTTGTCACACCGAAGGCTCGGGTTCGATTCCCACATGGGTACAATGTGTGAAGCCCGCTGGTGTCCCCCAGCTTGATATTGTTGCAATATTGCTAAAAGCGGCGTAAAACCCATCTCACTCTTTCAATAGTAACTGCAATCTTGAAAAAATAATGTTAACCGAGGTCCGCATATTTAGCATGCTTTTCATGAATCTTGCCAGTCACATCGTTGTCAAAATAACGCTTACTGAATTAAAATAATAAAATGTAATGAAAAACAGTCTGACACTTCCTTCATTGTCCGAAACTGTGGTAATCTTGACTTGCCACACATTCTGTACTTGTATTGACTTTCTTCGATGTACAATATACCCTGGTTATAATGCTAATATCTGACCAGGAGAAAATATGGCATTATATCCAGAGCGGCATTATAACCAGGGTGCACTGTGTATTTGTTTCAGGGTCTGTATGACAGACTAAGATACCCTGTATTCTGACTGACTACTGGGATTAAGGAAACATTCCCTCGGCACTGCCTAGGTGTCTCCTTGAGTCATGGATTGGCTGTTAAGTTCTTTGTCCACAAAGCCTAGCATCAGCATACCTGTTGACACTTGTCAATCTGTGGAAGCCATAAAGATTGCTTTGATCAAAAGATTTACACCAACTGTATGGACACAGATCTTGTGGCACAACTGGGCACGTCTATGGACTTATCTTCCTATGTATGTTCGACTTGAAATATTAAGTACTCAAAACACATCATCATCATCATTGTCATCATCATCATCATCATCATCATCATCATCATTGTCATCATCATCACCATAACAGTGAGTGAGTGAGTTTAGTTTTACGCCACACCCAGCAATATTCAAATATGGCAGCAGTCTGTAAATAATAGAGTCTGGACCAGACAATCCAGTGATCAACAGCATGAGCAATATTCAAATATGGCAGCAGTCTGTAAATAATAGAGTCTGGACCAGACAATCCAGTGATCAACAGCATGAGCATCGATCTACGCAATTGGGAACCATTGACATGTGTCAACCAACAGCGAGCCTGACCGCTCGATTTCGTTAGTTGCCTCTTACGACTGGGTTACTGAAGATCAATATTCTAACCCGGATCTTCACGGGTCCCATAATAATAATAATCACCATCATCTTCATCATCTATGCACACTCATAATCATCAAAACATTGAGAATGCTATCAAGACTTATTTCTATTGCATTCAAGTCTCTGAAGTTACCCCATTCCTTCAAGCAAAAATAAACAAAAGGAAAACTATTAAATTTAACCTTAACAGCTGCAGGGAGTAAAGAACACTCTCCTTATTTACAATGAAATCATGCAGGCTTAACCCATCCACTCAAATCAGAAAACAAACATCCTGATTTACAATAAAAATCATGCAGGCTTCACCCATCCACTCGGATCAGAAACACACATCCTGAAAGGTATTCATTTTAACTGACAGCAGCCATTGTCCCGAGATATTGTGTTTGCAGCACTGAGACTTTCTTAAGCCGTCTGTTGTCTGTGTGTAGGGTCTGTACTGTTGTATATAAGACAGAATAGTGTTAGAGGAGAATGCATAATCATCAATACTGTCTGCTTTGTATGTGGAGTAAGATACAATCTTCTGGTGATCCTTGTTAATGTTATGACTGGTGACTCAGGAAGTGAATGCTAGGGATAGAAGTACCCCCAAACTTGTGAAATAATAACCGCCCTCAGCGATGGGTCGCGGCAGAGCGAAGTGGTTCGAGAATATTACTGTGATAACCACCTCGAGGGAACCGAGAGAGGGTGTGATTATCGCGAATCAACAAATCAGTATGGAGAGAAAAAGTACGAGCTTAAGGTTGTTATTTCGCATATACCACAAGGTCAAAACACATACTTATTTTAGTTGAATTATAATTAACTGCAATGTTCAGAAGCTACAATGAGATAAATGTTTTGAATGGTTCTGTATTTTTTGCTACTGAAGATGTTTCCAGTAAAACATTGATGTAGAGGCATAGGGTTTACAAACCAGCTGATTGCTATGCTGAGGAAAAGTTCTTAATCCCTGCAAATAAAACAATGCCCAGCAAAAACAACTCGAGGTGCAATACCGGAAGAAGGTGAGGCCCCTGGAAAAAGTTTGTGAAGCCGGAGCCTTGTTCCCAAAATTCGGCTTATAGTATTGCACCCAGAGATGTTGGTCAGATAATATGCAATAACGAAAATAATAGCTGTCTCCTACACAGAATACAATGTATGGAAAATACACTGTTGGCGAGATTTGTAACGAAATGTACAAAACTTAGTAAAGACTATGTTAATAACGAACAAATATGAAAAGGCATTCGCAGTCTCCTACATAGACATCAGTGATATATTGAAAAAATAAAAATTTAACAGAGCAGTTTTTGTTAATTTTCTTTTGGGAGTGTTAAAAATACAAACAAGCTTAACAAACGCCATTCAACACTTGAAATTGACAATGATTTTCAAAGATCTTGCATTGTATGCCAGGAAAGTGTGCGAGATACGTTGCTGCACCAGAATCTCGTGCAAGTCGAGCAATTAACAATCACGTGCAATGGAAAACCACGTGATTTAAGCTGACAGTGTTGTACAAGCCATCACAGCAAATGAATTCTGACATGGAGGTGCTTTTGGCTTCTCAGAGAGCTGCTACGACTCTGTTCCAGGTCGGTGTGGATTTTGAAGCAAACTGGTCATGTGGTAAGTATCGTACCCTACATTACATTGTCTATATCGGAAAGAGTTCAGCCCGTACCCCCTCTTTTTACCTAGTATATTTGCTCCAGGAGGAATCCTTCCCCGGTGTATTATTCCAAAACTGAAATAAGTTCATTGATTGTTTTTTATATATCTGTTCTAGTTTATTGAATGTATATTTAGGGTGAGGTATGCATGTTGCTTTGTAATTTTGGTTTTCATTGGGGTTGGGGGGTACAGGCGGAACTCTTTCCAAGGTCTTGATTAGAATAGTGGCCTTCAGGAACCCATGCTTGTCGTGAGAGGCGACTAACGGGATCGGGTGGTCAGGCTCGCTTACTTGGTTGACACATGTCATCGGTTCCCAATTACACAGATCGATGCTCATGCTGTTGATCACTGGATTGTCTGGTCCAGACCCGATTATTTACAGACAGCCGCCATATAGCTGGAATATTGCTGAATTCGGCTTATAACTAAACTCACTAACTCACTTGGAAGGTGAGGTGGGTGGGTAGTGGGTGTCATCAATTTTCTTCACAGGTACTGGGGGTCTGCAAGTTTGTGAAAATATTTTAAAAAAAGAAATTATAGGAAGAGGGAGGGGGGTCAATGATTTCGTACATAATAAGCAGGGGGTTACCTACTTTGTCCATAATTTTTAGGGTGGTTGGGTAGGGGATTATTCACATTGTACTTGCTTATCCATAAAACTCATCATCACCCCCACTAGCCATAAATTTTGAATGGTCCCTAGGGTACCCTTGTATTGGGCGTAAATTGGGTTGGGAAATTGAGTTGCCAGCACGACAGCATGAACTTGGGAAGTTATCTGATTGTTGAGAGTACCATTGGTTATTATACAACTGTTGCAGGTGTGCGGACGTAAAGGAAAGTAAATGAAGACCACATGAAGATGGTCAGCAGCATTCTCACAAGTAACAAGCCAAAAACAGAGGAAGTACGATGCAAAGCGGAACACAATGCTTCAACTCAAGAAGTATGTTTTCTTTCTCTCAGTGGAAACAGTCAATACTAACTCTTCTAATGAAATTAAACATTATTGGTCAGGGGAAATTGCACTGTTTATAGGCCAGAGTGCCCTACCACCTTCCCATTCCATTGGTTATCTGTTTGTACTAAACCCAAGTCTATTGGTATTCGAGAAACTTGCTTGATACTGATGCATGTAATTTGTTGGTAGACGTCATTTTCACATTAACAGAATATATCATAAAAACTGTTAATCATTGGGGTAAATCAAATTATTCATTACAAAAATACCATGAGCATCCTGTTTAAATAACTATTTCATTTTCAGATTATTCAAGTGACCCTGTAGAAAAATCGAAGGTGGAAGGAGGTCCTGCCGCCTCCAATTTAATAATTGCAGTGTGCAGATATTGTAAAAATAAATAAATATATTTTAATGGTTCTGTGTTTTTGTATTCAATATGTTTCCAACAAAAACATTGAGGGTAGAGGCATAGGGTTGTCAAACCCGATATGCTGAGGGAAAAGTTCTTCGAGGTGCGATGCACGGAAGAAGGTGAGGCGAAGCCGAGCCTTGTTCCCAGTATCGCTTACTCGAGAGATGATCGGATAACCGCCCTAGGGGGTTATATGATAACCAGCCTAGGGGTTATATGATAACTAACCTCTGGACAAGGTTGGTTATCCGATAACCAACCCCTTGGGAGGTGGTTCACAAAAACAATAACCCAAGATATTGACCCGATAATCAACCCACGTGGTATATTAACTCGTATAGTTATTACAACCACAGACCCTGACTTTAGGGAAATAGTTATGAGGTTCAAGGCACAGACCCTGACTTTATGGACAGTGGATATCCAGGTTTGGGGACAGACAGGGACATCTGAGGGTATTCATCCAGGCTATTGGGTATGGACAGTTGTCTCACAGATGGACATCCAGGTGTATTCGGTATGGACAGTGGACATCCAGGTGTATTGGGTATGGACAGTGGACATCCAGGTGTATTGGGTACAGACAGTGGACATCCAGGTGTATTGGGTATGGACAGTGGACATCCAGGTGTATTGGGTATGGACAGTTGACATCCAGGTGTATTGGGCACAGACAGTGGACATCCAGGTGTATTGGGTATGGACAGTGGACATCCAGGTGTATTGGGTATGGACAGTGGACATCCAGGTGTATTGGGTATGGACAGTTGACATCCAGGTGTATTGGGCAACAGGCAGTGGACATCAGGCATATTGGGTATGGACAGTGGACATCCAGGTGTGTATTGGGTATGGACAGTGGACATCCAGGTGTATTAAGGTATGGACAGTGGACATCCAGGTATATTGGAGTATGTATAAGGTGGGCACAGGACAGTGGATATCCAGGTGTATTGGGCACAGACAGTGGACATCCAGGTGTATTGGGCATGGACAGTGGACATCCAGGTGTATTGGGCACAGACAGTGGACATCCAGGTGTATTGGGTACAGACAGTGGACATCCAGGTGTATTGGGCACAGACAGTAGACATCCAGGTGTATTGGGCATGGACAAAGGACATCCAGGTGTATTGGGCATAGACAGTGGATATCCAGGTGTATTGGGCACAGACAGTGGACATCCAGTTGTACTGGGCATGTACAGAGGACATCCAGGTGTATTGGGCATAGACAGTGGATATCCAGGTGTATTGGGCATGTACAGAGGACATCCAGGTGTATTGGGCATGGACAGAGGACATCCAGGTGTATTGGGCATAGACAGTGGATATCCAGGTGTATTGGGCATGTACAGAGGACATCCAGGTGTATTGGGCACAGACATTGGACATCAGGGTTAGGGGCATGGTCCCATAATATATCAGAAAGGAACAATGTGACGTCCAAACACCTTGAAACTATACCTGCAAACAAGCTGCATATACAACATTCAAAATAAAACATTTATTGTACAAAAGGTAATCGGCTCATATACATGAATTGCATGTATAGGATCATTGTAACAGATTCACATTTCATTTCCATCCAATTTTGCTGTTGACGTCATATTTGAAGTTACACATAACAGATGGTAAATCTTGATAGTGTGTCATAAGGCAAATATATCATACTGAAGTACAAAAAATAAGTAACTCGATAGAGTAGGGCCCACTTCTGGGGGGACCATTATCATATCACCATCACCACTTCTGGGGGACCCTATCATATCACCATCACCACTTCTGGGGGGACCCCTATCATATCACCACTTCTGGGGGAACCCCTATCATATCACCAACACCATACAACAAGACAACAGAGTGGGTCAACTCACCACCAGCTGCTTGATTTCCTCGGCATGTTGTTTCTTGAGGTCGTCGATCTCGGTGCGGTGAGTCTCGTGGAGGGCACTGACCTGCGACTCATGGACCTTCTGCAGGTCTGCACATAAACATCAACAACTGATACAACGGAAGGAAATGGTGACAGGTGTTTGTAGGGGCTGCATTTCTGATGCTTAGATGGTTTAAGGTTATTTCTTACAGATAAAATAATAGATAATAATTAGGAGATAAAACATCATGTGTTGGCCAATTTCCGGGTGTTATTGAGTATTTGAAGCACGGGAATTCATTTGGAACCGACAGCGTGAGCCGGAGGTTTCAAATGACATATTCCCATGCTTCAAATACTCAATAACACCAAATAACCAACACATGATGTTTATCGGCGTTAATAAACACAAAAGTAAACCAAATGGTCCACACGTATTTTGTGTCTGCTCTCATTGACATCGAGAATGCAAATTTACAGCAGTGAAATGTCATCAGCCGGCCGTTTCGGCTGTCTACATGGTAGCATCTGGACCTGCTCATTTGTAAAGTCATTTGGACTTTCGTCACAATATGATTTTAAAGGTCACATAAACCCTAGGGGGTACAAATACATAAATCACTAACTGGCATCGTTATAAATGAAACCCGTCATTAAAACTACTCATTTCGACCTTTAATTGACTTAAATCGACCTTTTGACAACAGTGCACAATTCTCACCCATGAGCGAAATTTCAACCAATCAGAGTGGGCGCCTCTGTGACGTCATATGAGGAATAGCTTTGAGAGCCGATGCAGAATTCATCTACATTTTAGGGGAGTAAATTATCGTGTTTACAGGCTTGTATAAACCTGAAATCGTGACAATTGTTGTGGAAAATGAAAGCTATATGTTCTCACAATCTACTGTCATTTAATTTTGTCTCCTGCTTTTGCCTAGTTTCGAGTTACAACTTGTTTTCATAGGCGATTCTGTCAAAATCGATTGGTGTCGTTAGGCCCTATTTGTATAATGACTGATCCAAATTGATCCCATTTCTATGTTGTTTTACCTCGATATTTAATCATGTCATGTAAAATCTGTTTGTATTCTCAAAACAGTGTCGGCCCATAAGTTTTCACATGCAATACAGCAATTAATACTCCCTCGTTGTAACCCGTGTTAGGTGGTATAAACCTACATGTTATTTGTCATCATTCACTTGATGGTCAGTTAATGAATTTATAACAGGTATAATTAGTGGTAACACACTTAGATTACCGACAAAGGTTCCCATTTGGCATTTCTTGTGTCTGGAGTAAATATTCAACATTATAAACATCGATCAAAGGATTGACCCGATAACACGCTGATTGATTAATTACTTTTATCTTACACAGCGGAATCGTCCAAAAGGTAGTGTTTATGTATGTAGATTTACTAATCTATACTGAATACACTCTGGTCGTAATGTAATTGTCTCGCGTAAAAACAACGTCCTTCTTTCAAAGGATTAACCGGACAATACATTGATTGATTGCCCATTATTGGCTAACTAAATTACTTTTGTAAAGAAAGGCGGACATTATGCAATTAGTTTGCCAGGTGTGCTATCTTGGGTGACCAATGAGACTATACACCAATACCTGAAAAGATTTTATCACTTTTTTCGTATATTAAACTGTTAAAGACACATCATTTGGAACAGTTTTGTGGATATTGATGGATACATTCCTCGAACAAGGTAATGGCCTGATATTGTTCCTATAACTTTAATCTGTTTTAATTTTAAAATTTGCATTTTGTTTTTATTCATTTTGTCGTAGCATTCAACAGAATCATTGTTTTCACCGTGAAGTGTAATGAGACAGACAACATGCACTAGGGTGTGTGTGTCGCGAATTATGATTCACATTGGCAAACTATAAAATGTCTAGATATATTACAGTTCTGTTATAAATTCACTATAAGTATCAGCAGATCGTCTGCTTTTTATTTAGTTTCAAAATGCATACAAGTGTGATAATAAACTAATTAGGATTATAAGACCAAATATAAAGGCGCTACATTGACTAGTATCTACATACTGGTGAGTGGACATTAACCATGGGAATGTAGCATGAAATTTATCGCGCAGTATTGTGACTTCGACCCCCACCTGCGGCTTCCGTGGAAGAAATCGTTATGTTATAAGTTTGTGTCATGCAAAATCCGTTTGGTTATGATTCCAATACATATTTAACAACGGTAGAAAGTAGTCTTGATTTTCTAACTTGATGAAAACAAACTATAATCTCATTATTCTAACAGATTTTTTATTTTTAAAATGAAAGCCCTGTCGGGAACATCCATGAGTCTGAGGATAAATGGTATTTAGGTTTGTTTTCACCGAGGTTACAAAATCAAAACTACTTTCTACTGGTAGTAAATATGTATTTTATTAATGACCAATAGGATTTTGCATGACATAGCGATATCATAACAATTTCTCTGTCGTGGCGAGGTGGGTCAATATAATACTACTTACAATATTATTGTTACTTCGACCACAACCTTACTTCGAGGAAGAAATCGTTATGTTACAAGTTGTGTCATAGAAAATCTTTATGGTCATCAATCATATGCATATTTTACTACAACTAGTAAGTAGTTT